GTTATCAAAAAGAGGTATGAATATAAGCAGACAACATTGATAATAGGAAACCACTAACAGGTTGACTTCTTCAGATTAAGTACACCCCTGACCTTTGCTTCAATTAAGGACCTAAACCATGTAACAAGCCTATATTTGGCACAGTTGTTAAATCGGTGAAATTGTGGTTTCACATTCATTATTGTGATTCCATTAAGCACTATCAACTCAATTCTTATACAAACCAAAGTCACATGGGCACTGCAGCTATCTTATAAACAAACAATGTTAATAGGAAAAATTACTACTGTATTGGAATTAGGGATGCACAATATATCGGTGACCACATCTGTATCAGCCGATATGTGTGTTTTTTCCGATATATCTGTATCGGTCCGATGAACAAATCTAGCCGATGTGAAAAACTGATGATTGTCAAACATCAGCGCCTTCGTCGCTACATTTGATATTGCTGCTATTTCACAGATGTTTTCACCAAAATGATCCTGGACTTGAACATGAAATATGTTCAAATATGTTCAAATATGTTTTACAACTGTGCATGTGTGTGTGTGTGTGTATGTGTGTGTGTGTGTGTGTGTAAAAGAAAACGTTTTCATATTGTAACAGCATTTATTTTACGCCTACAGGTTTATAACAACCACAATAAAAATTGATTTTCACCATATGGGCCCTTTAAAGTGACACCATTATGTGATTAAGCTGTAGGTCACTTTTACAATAATGTTTCTCATGGCCTCGTTCAGATATACCCACAGTAGTGATGGAGATAACCATCGTACATGTGCAATATTTGTCATACACGCAAGATTAGGCAGTAAGTCAAGTAAGGTTTTATACAGTAAAGAAAGAAAGAAAGAAAGAAAGAAAGAAAGAAAGAAAGAAAGAAAGAAAGAAAGAAATATGAGCTGATAGCAAGCAAACCCTCCAAAGAAGCAGTAATCTGGTTTATTTATGATTTTCTAAAACACTGAAAATCTATCTACACCACGTTCCAAATTATTATGCAAATTGTATGTAAGTGTCATAAAGATTCAATTTTTTGTTTTTTAATTAAACTCATGGATGGTATTGTGTCTCAGGGCTCTTTGGATCCCTAAAATCAATCTCAGACACCAGTGATAATTAGTTTGCCAGGTGAGCCCAATTAAAGGAAAAACTACTAAAGAAGGACGTTCCACATTATTAAGCAGACCACTATTTTCAAGCAATATGGGAAAGAAAAAGGACCTCTCTGCTGCTGAAAAGCGTGAAACAGTTGAATGCCTTGGACAAGGTATGAAACCTTAGATATTTCACGAAAACTTAAGCATGATCATCGCACTATTAAGAGATTTGTGGCTGATTCAGAGCGCACACGGGTTTGTGCAGATAAAGGTACAGCGAGGAAGGTTTCTGCGAGACAAATACATCGGATTAAGAGAGCAGCTGCTAAAATGCCATTACAAAGCAGCAAACTGGTATATGAAGCTGCTGGTGCCTCTGGAGTCCCATCAAGGTGTAGGATCCTCCAGAGGCTTGCAGTGATGGTTAAACCTTCTATTGGGCCACCTCTAACCAATGCTCACAAGCAGAAACGGCTGCAGTGGGCCCAGAAGTACATGAAGACTAATTTTCAAACAGCTTTGTTCACTAATGAGTGCCGTTCAACCCTGGATGGTCCAGATGGATGGAGCAGTGGATGGCTGGTATACGGCCACCATGTTCCAAAAAGGCTGCGATGTCAGCAAGGAGGTGGAGGAGTCATGTTTTGGGCTGGAATCATGGGCAGAGAGCTGGTCGGTCCCTTTAGGGTCCCTGAATGTGTGAAAATGGCCTCTGAAAAGTATGTGGAGTTTCTGACTGTCCACTTTCTTCCGTGGTACAAAAAGAAGAACCGTGCTTTTTGTTACAAAATCATCTTCATGCATGACAATGCACCATCTCATGCTGCAAGGAATACCTCTGCATCATTGGCTGCTGTGGGCATAAACGGAGAGAAACTCATGGTGTGGCCCCCATCCTCCCCTGATCTCAACCCTATTGAGAACCTTTGGAGCATCCTCAAGAAAAAGATCTATGAGGGTAGGAGGCAGTTCACATCCAAACAGCAGCTCTGGGAGGTTATTCTGACATCCTGCAAAGAAATTCAAGCAGAAACTCTCCAAAAAATCTCAAGTTCAATGGATGCAAGAATTGTGAAGCTGCTATCAAATACAGGGTTCTATGTTAAAATGCAACTTGACCTGTTACGATGTTTTTTAATACTGGAAGCTTAGGATGTAAACAGAGTCATACTGCATCGAGACTTTATGCTAACCTGGGCTAACTACCCCTTGGCTTCAATTCTGTGCTTAGAAGAAAGGCGTGATTTTGAAAATAGTCCTCTCATCCCATTCCTACATACAAAGCAAGCCTTTTTGCAAAAATGCTAAATAGCAATGTGATATGGCTGCACAATATATCATGTCAGCATTGAAATTACGATGGTCACATGCACATTAGTCACAAAGCAGAAAGTTATGATATCCATCCATTATCTATACACCACTTAATCCTCACTGGGATCGCAGGGGGGCTGGAGCCTATCCCAGTTGACTTAGGGCAAAAGGCAGGGGACACCCTGGACAGGTCGCCAGTCTATTGCAGGGCTGCACTTAGAGACAGACAACCAAGCACACTCACATTTACACCTACGGACAATTTAGAATCACCAATTAACCTCAACATGTTTTTGGACTGTCGGAGGAAGCATGAGAACTTAGAGAGAACCCACACTGCACGGGGAGAACATGCAAACTCCACGCAGAAAGATTCCGGTGCCCCCACCGGGACGCGAACCGGC